TAGCAGTGGTGGTAATATGTAACAATGCTACAATAATAAACATGTTAATATTAATGTCATGGAATTATGACTAATAGTAATAACAAGAGTGGATGTCAGGCAGGGCCACGGTAGTAGTGGGAACCACGATCCAATATAGGGAGCAGCCATGATCCATGAGAACCTGCTGGATGAGAGAGCACAGAAACTCCAGGGAAGAAGTTTAGTTAGTAACATGCATTAATTAGACATGTATGTTTAGAGATGGGGATGATAATAGAGAGAGGGGGGGGGGAGTCCCCCGGCAGTCTTATCCTATAGCAGTCTTATCTTCCTTTTAGTTTCTCTGTGGAATATATGCTTTTACTATTTCCAGTTTCTTTTATTGAGTTTTTGTGTCATTGTGGTTACCTTGAGCAGTAACTTCAGTCTTCTTATGTCTCATGATTCTGGTAAGGATTTTTTCCTCTGTATGTTTACACCCCTGATGTTGTTTATCTGATCTTGTAGTTGTGTCTTGTTATTGACCATTGGGTGATAATAGTGACTCATGTCAACCTGTTTCTCTTCTTAGGGTGTTGACAACACTGGAGATGTCTACCGGGCTACCTACACTGCTTTCAGATGCTCCAAGGTCTCAGGAGTTCTGGGAGCCAATGAGAAAATGCAGGTAGGCATTCACAAATATTTAGAGCAAGTCAGTGTAAAAGAACTGAGCAAGATTTACTAGAGCTGATTTCAGTTCTTCATTGAACTCCAGTTAATCTCTTCAGAGTTTCACCTAATAGCCCCAGCTCGTAAAAAGTCAAGATAATGTGAAGCCATGTGAGAAAACAGCAGGAGATTATCAGGAGGATTCGTCACGAGCAAGTAGGCCTGTGAATGATGTTTCAAACGTGGAAAAAATTTATATCTCAGGATAATAGAGAGGTGCCATTGTTGGTGAGGGCCGATGCTGGTGTCGACGTCCTTTAAACAAAAACATGCAATCTCCGCAGCAGAGTAAATGTCATATCCTGCCTCCTGCATACTGTTCCACCCCATGAACGCCGCTAATGATACAGCGGAGACAAGTCCTTAAAAGTATGGGAATAAGTCTTCCAAGAAGACCATTAGCTGCAAATTGTAAAACTGATTTCACAGTGAAGAGCACCACATCAGAGTGGAATGAACCTGAAGAGAAAACATGTCGGAGGCTTCCTTCTTATCTTCTTTCAGTTTATTGGTGGATCGTCAACAACTTAAGGTTCATACTGCAGTGATGTTGTGCTGCTGTTTCATGTGAAATAAGCTTTACACAGGTTTTTTTTGAGGTTTTAACATAAAATGTTGACACACTTTTAACAACTGTCATGTCCCAACTAGAGAGAGATTTTTGATTTTTGAAAACAACTTTGTAAGGCATTTTTTTACCGGTACAAATTGTATTAGTCACTACCTAATACTTTTTTTTTTTAAACACATTTCGGCAAGAAATAGATAAATAATTCAAAAAAGGTAACCTGGTTATGTACACTGCCATTTTCGCCTGCCCTAAAACAAAGTTTAAAGGTGGCTCTTTTGTTTGTGCTGGCAAGTGTACCATACCTAAAACCATATAAAAACCTGCTTGTTAAAAACCTCCTTAAAACTTGTAAAAACAGAAACAATTCAGACAGACAATGACACTCATAAAAACAGTGGCCAAAATAACCCTTTTGCACGTTTGTGTACAATGTTCTTCTTATGTTCTGTATTTTCCTCACTATAGTGCGCACTGGATTATAAGGCGCACTGTCAATGAATGGTCTATTTTCTAACTTTTTTCATATATAAAGCGCACCGGACTATAAGGCGCATTAAGCGAAACAAAACAGTCGGATAAGTCAGTCAGTCAAACTTTATTAAATGCGTTTACAATAACTCTCAACATTGTTCAAATGTTAATGAGCGTATTCACAATAGCTCCCAACCTTGTTCAGTTGTAACATGTAAAAAAAAAAAAAAACTGATACCACTAAATCAAACGTTAGCGTATTCACAATAACTCTCAAAATTGTTCAGTTATAACACATAAAATACAACACAATACACTCACTTTTTCAGTTCATTCCTCGTCCACAAATCCCGATTACGGCATACAGCATGCCTGGATCCCTTTCGTCATTATCCGAGTCAGTGTCGTTGCTGTTACCTGGCAGTTGAATTCTCTCGCAGTGTCTCTATTCCCATGTTCTACTGCGTGACTGATAGCCTTGAGTTTGAAGTCTGCGTCGTAAGCATGTCTCTTGACAGGTGCCATTTTGGGGTCCTGATACACACACACTGTAATATTATGGTGAAGCACAGTATATATTACACCGCGATGCTCCTGACTACTCCTGACTGTCGTATTAAAACATTTTGACAGAGCACCGTGTGCGCCGTGTACCACACAAAATCGCTTCGAGGTCAGTAAGCACAACCAGAATTAATCCATATATAAGGCGCCCTGGATTATAAGGCGCACTGTTGTTTTTTGGGAAAATTAAAGGCTTTTAAGTGCGCCTTATACTCCGGAAAATACGGTACATGTTTTTACTTATGCACAAAACTGATATTAATTGCTTATACAATCATCCTATGCTACTACTTATAACATTTCATACAAACCACTATATTGAAAAGGTGTATATAATGTCCATACTTTTTTATTGAATTTTTATTCTATTACTTTTTTATATTTCTTTATTCTCTTGTCTAGCTGCTGCAACAACTGAATTTGCCACGGTTTGTGGATCAAGTGCCACTGCACTAATGACTCACACTTAGAACTGCTGAATTCATATTTATGATCCTGAATAAAGGGGGCATCGCTTCTTCTGCAACAAAGAAGTTAAAACATTGTTACATCATAATCTGTGTGCGTGCTTATGTGTGTGTGAGAGATCTCTGTCCCTCTTCACACATAAACTGATAATTACGTGGGTTATTCACCATCTAGTCATATATTCTAAAATAATAATGACTCAATAGTGTTGGATCATGTCTCTGGATCGTTCTGAATTACGTTGTGTGTTGTGTAGCAGGTTTAAACATGTCATAAAATCTAGAGTGAATCAAACAAACAAAGTAAATGTCAGTCCTGTACGTGTCCAAATAACTTGTGATCAGTGATGGTGTTTATTGTGAAAGTGTAAAGTATGGTCAGAGGGGGAGTGATGAGGACGCAAACTCCAACCACACCTTAAATGTGCGTCTACCCTGGTCCTGAAGTAGTGGTTATAATTATGCAGCGGCAGGACGTTGCTAAAACAACTATCGTAGCGGTACACATTACACATTACAAACCAACCAGTGCTTCTGCAACAAAGATGTCGAGATGCAATAAAATTGTAAAGAAAACAGGGTTCTGTATGTTCCTGACCTTAATTTTGAAAAAAATACTGCAATCCCTAAAATCTTTTGTTGAACAATTTTTTTATTATAAAATCATTATGATAAAGTTTATAGCATAAAAAAAGTTACGATACAAATACTTTTCCTCCAATGTTTTTCTTGCCCTGTCAGGTGCCCATTACTTTCCTGCCTAGGGACCAAGGAGACTATGCACAGTTCTGGGACTTGGAGTGCCACCCGGTGTCTGAGCCCCAGCAGAAAACCAGAACCCGCTTCCAGCTCTGTGGCACTGTGAGGACCCATCCTTTAATTTTATGATGTTTGTCTTGGTCTTTCTCACAACTTACTGAAGCTAATGTTCAACACCCATAAAGCGAAATACAGCCACGCGTACTTTTCTTTTAGTGAACTGTTGTAAAGCTGCTACTTACAAACTTTTCTTTGGACTCAAAGATGAACTTACTCACGTTCCTGTGAATGTCATATATAAGTACTGCCCGTAGGGAATTGCATTACATCTGGCACAAATAGCTTTGACTCATGACCTGAAGAGAATTTGGCGGTCAAGGGTCACTGTGACCTCTGAAACAAATTTGGCACACATGTTCACTCACACTCACTGAGTAACTGATTAGATCTCGGTGATCAATGGTGTGATATCTCAAGACTGCTTGAAGGAATTTTGATCAGTTGTCACTTGATTCAAAGATAAACTAATTCTGGTTTTCACTGTACACAACACTGATATGCATAGCCAAATGAACAGCTCTTATCCAATTTGCCTTTGAGATGTACCCATGGTTCATTGGGGGAAAAAGCTGACTTTAAAGTATTCTAATGTTTCAGCTGAAAAATAAAACCAGCATGTATGGTTGTACTAGGGATGTCCCGATATGACATTTTCGTGCCACGATTATTGTCAGAGGAAATATCATGGTTTTCACGATTATCAATACTAAAGAAGGAAAAGACACACAACAAGCAATATAAAGCTAATAATATAGCTAATGAAGTAAAATATTTATTATTATCATAAACTATATCTAGTTAGTTTTTATACTCTAACATTTCGCTATTTAAAAGTAATGTATAATGGTTAATAGGAAGATAGAGAGAGCGTGAGATGAGGTTGTGAGTGTGTGTGAGCTGGTCATAAAAGTAAACAAGGATTTCTTCTCGCCGTGAACTCCACACAAATTACATGACTCACGAGATGCAGGACACCATAATTAGATATCGTAGTTTTTACAATTCTTATGGATATAGAATTAACAAATGAGAAAAGTGTCTTGTGGGATGAGAAGAGCCACCTTGCTTAGATGGGGCCTGCAGGCTTCACAAGTCAGCTGCTTTTAAGCAAAGTAATATTACAGACCCAGTTAACTTAAGAGCATACACTGCAAGTGGAATGTCAGATAGACAGCTCCACAGAAGAAGGTTAGGTGGTTATAATGGTGCTGCTGTTGTTGTTTGTGTAAAAGATGAAGTGCTAAATCCCTCAAATGCAAATCTGTGACTCCAATTTGAAAAACTACATTCATGTATGTCTTAGTATTGTGCTGAACTGAATGTGATCAGTTTCATACTGTTTTTAAAAAATGTGCATATGAGGTTTATTTTTTCAAATAGACAGGTTTCTCACTGCTGCTAATAATAATTTCTTCTCAATTGTACTTAAGCCTAATTCGTTCCTCAACAAAAGGCCACGACTGGTGCTCGATCTGCAGTTGCCAATTGCCATGGGTAAACTCTTCAAAGACAAGATTAGAAGCTCACTGACACATCAAAAACTTGAATCTAGTTGGGGTCACCACGTTACCGTCCCCCCATCGCTTGTCTGTCTTGTAGTATGAACTCACAATGACTGAAAGAGTCTGGGTCACAAGACAGCAAAAGTGTGTACTGCGCCGCAGTAATCCGATGACTCAGAATTTTATGAAGTCTGAACTTGTCTTTAATTAGCCCAAAGTTTTGAGGGGTCTTTCATTTTTTTGAATCACTTTCTGGGATGAGTAGTCTAAAATTTTGTCTGTATGTCTAAAGGGTCTAAAAGCTGGACCTGTGGAAGGACCACAGGAAGCAGACAACGCTGTGGTGAAAAAAGAGCCCACAGTCAAGACCAGAAAGAGAGCTGATGCCTCAGCAGGCAAAAACAGGTTAGAAATAAAACTAAAGCTAAATATACATATGATCCTCACCATGTTGTCTACAGCCAGTGTGGGAAATATCAGAACATCCACCTGTTAGAGAAGTATTCTGTTTACCTTGTGTATAAGGAAGCTCTGTTTGGATGCCCTGATAGCCTAGGAATTAATCTCACATCACCTGAATGTAATTACATTAGGCTTCCTGTTTAAACTGTCACAATTTGTAATCTTCCAGCCAGGAGGAGACTGTGTGGAGGGGCGTGTATTCTCCACAGGATCTGTACACCTTCCCTGCCACACGGGTGGGTGAGTCCAACACTCTGAAGGTCAACATCCGCAACAACTCCTCCAGTACGCATGAGGTGAGACACAACTTATTCCCATCAAGACATTTGAAGGGATTTGTTATTGTCGCTTACTGCAGCCGAAACTGAAATACAGTGTATACAAGCATATGCAGCATTTACAATACCACAAATTGATTTACCTCAAGTTGTTTCCTTTAGTTTCATTTGCTTTTGTAGATGGGATTTTATCAAGTTCACTTTATATTTACTATCGCAGGGCTCCAGACTAACTTTCCACTGGTAGCACTAATCCCCCTTACTGAAAGTTTTAGGAGCATCAGAACATGCAACGTAACACATTCACATTTTTTCCCATCTTAACTGTTTTACTGATAAATGTTTTGGTAATAAATAGATAATTTACAAAATACAGAAATGTGACAAATGAGAAAAAACTAATTAAAGCAGTTTTCAGACATGACCTAAAGGCCCACATGCACAACACTGCAGGAGGTTTTCTGCACAACAGCATAAAATTCTCCACATTATTCAGGCAAGAGGTGGAGCATTCAGATGCAGCAGATGGGCATATTTGTAAGGTGCACTGGGGCTCCTCATTATAAAATGTATTCACACCGTCTCTAAAAATAGTCACAGTCTGGGATATTTGTCCCATCTGAGAAATGTAATAACAGTCACTTACAGTTGTTGCTGGGCATGGGTTTGATATTTGAAGTCTGGCTTCTCTAATTGTCTTTCAGCTGAAATTTGTAAACACTAAGGAGCCCTTTCACATCAAGCATTCCAAATATTCTCTGAGGTGAGTCCAGTTTTATTATCCCCAACTCCATTTCATGACAGCAACCCACTGAGAATTCGGTCTCAGGAACTTTAACTCATCTCTGTAATTACTGCACTTTGTGTTATCTTATTACTGCTCTTCACTTTTCCATTTATTGTTAGAGATGGTTTCACACGGATTTCTCTCATAAAACTCAGTATCTATGTATTTATTTTAAGTCAAAACATGCTCTGACGTTTTCCCATTTTTAATGCTCACTGTGGGAGATGTTGGGCCTTGGTGGAGGATGTTACTACAGTTTATTCAGTGCACACTTGAGGCTTCGGGAGGAGCTGATGATTTGCCGAACTCAGGCCTCTTGGCAGTGTTGGAGGGCACTGTGCTTTGCTCAGTGGGCAAAACATGTGTTTAGTATATTGGAAATTGATAAAACGATAAACATTAACTGTGGTATAGGGAGAGAAAAAACATATTGGAATTGATTTTTACTTTCTCAACAAAAATAAAACACTCACAAGAGTTACTCCTGTACATCTTGTGATTTTGGTCATAACCTGAATCTGACCCTGCCCGTCAGTTAGTGTATGGTGTGTTTGACAGCTTGTTGTAGCCTTGTGGTGACCCCAGCATGTTGAACTTTGTATCATACACTCTCATGTCCACCACACTGAACACAATGCTGACCCTGTTATTGTTTATTTGGTATCTCCTGACATTTTGTTCGCAAATGGATGAGTTTACATTTACAGTACAGTGTCATTAAGATTGTTATTTTAGCTATAGCCTCATGTCATGTATGCAATCATGAGTATTTGATTGGAATGTATTCATTCATGTTTTGTGTGTGTGTGTGTTAATATTTACTGAGTATTCAGTAATTTTTCTCCTCTACTCATTAGATCACAGCACTATCTGAACCTACCCATCCAGTTCAGGCCAAGCACTGCAGGCAGACACACCGGTGTGTTGCTCATCCAGTTAGTAACAAGTGATAGTCTTGTTATTCAGCTGATTGGTGAGGCAATCCCTTGAACTCAACATCTACCATCCTACACCACGCCCACATGCAGACTGGCTGGCTTTGGGTGGATGCTCATCTCTCAAATGCTAAGGAATCAAAAAAAAAAACCTGGACTTAAACCATTCCTTGTCTTCATATTTGAAGATGTGGACTGTTCACCTGGAAATGCCAACATCTGCCTCTGGATCAGACTAGGACGTCTACCGGTGGCCCATAAAAAATTATTGTGCTTGATGCAGAACATTTGCATGTCTGTCTTATAAGAAGTCTGCAACACTGTTAGGGATTATTTGGAGTTGGTCACTCAGGAATGCCTTTGTCTCTTGTTTGGTAACATGCCGATTTTCTTTTTTTTTATTATTTCTTTAGTAAATCATTTATATTTTCATATTATGTTCAGGACGTTCTGCTGAACTGAGAGTGTGAACTGAACTGTCTGGTT